TCCTCCCTTCTGTGAAGCCCGAAGTCAACTAAAGGGCTAATGATAACTATCAAAATGCCTGCTATTTGAAATAAATAGATAAATTTATGTTACTTTAAGCTAATCGAGCTTATATCTCTTTCTTGCTTAATAATTTGAATAGATTAAATTAAATAAGAAATTAAGATGATATTACCAATCATCTAGAATGTCTCAAGCAGTAAGTCTCCGTGTTATCTAATCAGTATCTTGAAATCGAGCTATCTGACAATTCTGCTTTCATTTGTAATAAGGCTTTAAGCATACCTAGATTTTACTTTTAAATATCAACTCTATTCTAATGTTACCAGTGTTTAGATGTAAAAATTTGTATTTAGTACAACAATCTGATTTTCAAAGATACATATTTAATTTTTTTGTGGCTTAATTAAGTTAAGAGGAAACTGATAATTCGAGTAACACCTCAGAAAATTTCTCCCTATTTACTTATATACTTTGTGCAACCATTAAGTTTTACCTAATTGGATAAAGAGGACGCTAACCAATAGGAATTGTTGTCAACTAAGTAAGTTCCATTCCCTTCTCCAAAAAAGCATTTTAAAGTACGCTCATGTCGTTTCTTGACCGTAAAAGTCCCACCAATTATCGCGCTCATGGATACAACTGTTGGGTATGCTCATTTTATTTAATTGTCAGCAATCACAAATTTATCAAAAAAGTTGTGCAATATTGAGTAAAAATGAATTGGATTATGTTTTGGCTTCTTAAATTGAGGACATTAAATAAAAGCAAAATTCGAGGAAAAGTGGTCCCCAATCCATCTTATGAGAGAATCAGGAAAATTGGAGTTCACTAATTGTAGAGTTCGCATTTTCCCAGGTGGCAAATTTGATTTATTAATATTTAATCACTTTTTTCATATTGAATCCAGGTCTCAATCCTTTGAGTATACAATTGGTGTTTTATATTTTGACAATTTAGTGTAATCATTTTAATTCCGAAACAGATGAAGGATCCTTCAGAATCAAAGCTAAATGTAAAATGCGACAGTCTTGACGGATTCTCGTATTTCCATGGTTTGTGATAAAGATTCACAAGTTTTTTCCTTCCGGTATTAATCGCAGTAATCAACGTGATTTCATAATTAAAGGTCTAAGTTGCCCTTTAAGAAAGCATTATTTTCTTCATTTGGCTGAATCAGGGTTCTCTAATTATTCGCTCTGATTGAAGCTGTTTTAAGGAGTGCGAATACACTTCAACTGATATTCCGATCTCATCCCTATGGTTTCAATATTGAAAAGATTTACAGTTACTTCAACAATAACAACTTAATTTTTTTCATTTTCAAAAGTTTCAAGTCTTAGAGAAGAAAGTAAATTGGTTAACTAATGTAACTAAAAGAGGATAACTTACTACTGTTCATTAACTGAACTCCAGAGTATACATAAAAACTGGAAATGTGTGTAAAGTAGATCCTTGTTGGAATAAATGCTATATTTGAAAATGGAAATTTTTACTTTTCCGTGTCGAGTCAAGGATATATTTCCAAATCCACATTGCAACTGTCCAGGTAACGCCCACTTTCTCTCGTATATACTAGTTTTTTGTAATACAATAATTTGAAACTTAATTCGTTTAAAGTGAGGTAAAGGTAACTTGACTGAGCTTATAATTTTAGCCAAAAGGTTTTCCAAAATTAAGTAGAACATTAAAAATTGTGTACTATTTTACACATTTTATACGAATTTTAGTGCATGATATTATAGCAAAGTTAATTATGGCCAAAGTCATTTTCATTACTATTAAAGATGCGTTTGTTTCCAGTTGACCATTAGCGGTGACTGGCTCATGAAATGCACTTTAATCCACAATCTTAAGCGTATTCACAACATTTTAGTACTTTAATTTTCAGGCTGAGGACCAAATTCGGAAACAACTTGCCTCTCTGGTGATATTTCCACATGAGGTATAGAAACTAAATTTCATTTTCTTTTTCTTTCCGCTTGTACAGTGGTGTCCTTATTTGATGTCAAATGTGCTTTTGAAAAAAACATTATTTTTCACTTTAGACATTTTTACGCGTCATTGAATTCTTCCAGTCAACAACGATACTTGATGATCGTTTCTCCAATCTTCTAAGCGTTTCATTCAATGACATTTTATGGCTTTTGAAACAACACAGCTCAAGTGATGTTGCATACGTAAGTTCTTCAGTTAAAAATTCAAATTGTTTACGGCTTATTATTGAAACAATCCGCTGTAGACTCAAGTTTGCATAAAAGTTGATAAGTTTAAAGTATTTAAGTTTATTTGGAATTGAATAACAATATCATTTAATTTTATTGGTATTACGGCTATCTACAAGATGACTTATAGAATTTGTTAATCAGTAAAAATAAAATGACACCATTTGAGAATCTGCTCATTAATCGAATTTCAGTATTATGTTGAATTACTGTTTCAGAACCTAAGTGTAGAGGGAGAGAGAGGTTGCCTACTAAATTACATGGAATCCTGAATTCCATCCTGAATGCCACTAATGTCGAAAACGTGGATGAAATTAATAATAGAGGTAAGCATTAAATTCTAACACTCGGACACAGTAAAGGTGCTCTGGTTCATTGAAAAGTTATAAAACGCAGTATTAATAGCTTTTTCAGTCTACAAAATAGACTCATATTCCTATGCACATAGCAGTGACAGAAACCGATGTTTTGTTTGCTCACCATCTGGCAGTAATTTCTTCTAATAATACGCTTATGGGAGTTTGCCCAGGAAGAACAGATGCGCCAATCACAGTATGATTGATCCGCGCATTCACTCAGTGTTTTAAACTGGCCACAACCTAAGAGTGGCTTAAGAGTATTTTACTAGAAATATAACTTTTAGGAAAAATCAAAGAAACATAAGGCTTTATTTGACGCCATTTATCACTTTATGAGCAATAATTGCTTCTAATATTCACTGTCAGCAAATGAGGGTCATCCTCGATTACCTGGCGAAAAACTTACTTTCTTCTATTCTCACCAATCGACAAATATGATCTTTTTCTTCCCTTTAAATTATCCTTATTTTAACTACCTACACACTTTGGGTCTTTTAACATTACAACTAAAAGTCTCCTTTTTTGCAATGAGTTTAATTGGCCAGTTCTTCAGCATAATTCAATTGAGCTATTTCAATCAGCTGCCTACCGTTCTTCTTGTTACCAATAGTGCTATTATTTATCCCCCATTTTGTATTTATCATGGATGGTCATAAAAGTGAGTTCGCAAGATTGAAATCTGTCACTGAAAGCATTCAATATTGACTGCTTGATCCATTAAGGACATTTTAAGATAAGATCATTTGATGTTTGAAACCCTGATGCCCGTAAGGGTCAAATAAAATGTAGAGCATCGGACTGAATTGAGTAATCGACAATAAAAGTACTTCATAAGGGCAAGATAAAAATAAGCGCTAAATTTCTGTGGATTTATCAACAATTTATTCTCAAAGAAGCAAAAATAATGACGTTTGATAATTGGGACATCTAAACATGATGGATTGTTCAGTCTAAGTTATTACTTGCCTGAGCTCCAGAGTCAGTTGGTTTTCTCACCTTGTACTAATCTTCGCATTCTTTAAGAAAAACGAAGATTATGTGAATTTACAGCTATTCACTCTCTCTCTCTCTCTCTTCACTTAAAAAATAATCTTTTCTGGTAGTCGTTAATACTATCTGACTTATCACCGAAGTTGGTAATGTTTAAAGCGAACATTTTTATCGAATTTGTCTGTGTATAAGTCCACGCTTAGATGCTATCTGCTATGTTCTAATTCCGTCTTTTTCAGGCTGTAAATCTGAGTGAAATTCTGAGCAAGAGTCGAAGGCACTGGAGTATTGATTTTCTAACTCAGGTTCTACGGACATGCATTAGTGCCATAACTTTATACCCAAATGACTTTAGACAAGCCAATAGATGTGTTTATACCCAACTTGATCTCAAGAGAAATTCTTCGAATTTTATTGGACAATTCCATTCAATCTATCACCGTGCAACTCCAGTAGGATTATTTGATCCGCAAACATGTCATATCCGACGAAGTATTGTGATTATTGGAGAACGTGGACTGGGAAAAGAATTCGTCTTAAGATGCATTTGGCAGCTAGCACCGGATTCCTTCTACATTCCATCAAGTATGCCAATATTAACGAAACTCTGTTTAAATACATTCGTAAATTATGCTGTTTGTTTTACACATTAGATGCTTTCGAAGTGGAAGACTTCTACGATGAACACGAAACGGGAACCCATTGGCCACTGGCCTTTGGAAGACTTGATGATACCCTTCGAAAGCGGAGGCAGAAGGGGAAGGAAATGGAAAATCGTACAAATATCTACTGGAGTATTTCTAGTAATTTAAAACTAAGTAAAACAAAATTCGTAGGACAAAGGAGAAAAACTAGAACTCAAATATCAAGCGAAATGTTTGACTGTGCTAGAAGGACAATCAAAGTTGGAAAGATTCCAATTTTAGTAGTTTCTCCTCCCATCCTAAATGAATGGCGAGTATCTGCAGAACTGGCTGCCCTCACTGTATTACTACAACCAGCAAAAATTAAGGTGAATTAAACAAAATAAAAACTCTTTATGGTCCTGCATTAACGAAAATTCGTCTCTTTGTAGAAATTTGATGTCATGCCAACTAAACTCGAAAACATCGATATATGTTTGACACATTCACCATGGAATCCTACAAAGACTGCGAAATCAATTGTTGAAACATTCTGCGCCATGAATAATGGCAAAAGACAATGCACAATCTCTTGGAAACCTAGGATCTGGTTTAACTATACGACAGAGTCCGAAATGGACATATAAATACAGTTTGCATCTCATTCGTGAATGAACTATGATAGTTGCCTTAAAATCATTAGAAATTGTGATTTTGAAATTTAGAAATATTATTCCCATCGAAGGGGAAAAACCAATGAGCTCATTGGCTTAAAGACCAACATTTTCAGGAATATACGAATTTATTAAGAGTAAAACAAGGATAAAAGAAAAGAGGACTGTATAAATAGCTGTTTTGTTAAATGAGGTGATGTTCCCAAAATATATTTTGGAATATAGCTGTAATCAAATGGAAAAAGACAAAATTGAAAAGAAAGGGTTTGCATTATTCTGGTCTGTTTACGCTTTTTCAAAGGCAAGCAAATGATTGATAAAAAATACCTCTTTGCTACCATATTTTCGTGAAAATTTCTTTAAAAAGTTTCGGGCATATCGTCGAAAATTTATTTTCCATAAAATGAGCGGTCATTAACATAAAATAAGTAATTCTACACATGAGACAATAATAGAGAAAGAAATATTAATTCTATTTGTGAGGATCTTTTTAAATATCATCTACACGAAAACAAATCCAACAAATAAAAAATAAAATTATTCCTATAAATGGACTGTTCTTTCAATTATGACTACTATTAGAAAATTTAAGTTCTTTTAAACGTTGCGAGCATTACCATTCAAGGTCATGTTTTCACATTTTTCATCATGGGTGATGTAGAAAAAGGAAGGAAGTTATTCATCCAGCGCTGTGCCCAATGCCACACTATCGACAAAGGCGGTAGTAATAAAACTGGACCAAATCTTCACGGTTTGTTTGGTCGGCAATCTGGTCAAGTTGCGGGCTATGACTACACTGCCGCTAATAAGAACAGAGGTAATTGCAGTCTTAAATATCTTAATAAGCTTTGCCTTCTGTTATTTATTATTAAATATTCTCAATTAAAGGCGTGACATGGAATGAGGAGACACTCAACGAGTACTTGATCAATCCAAAGAAGTATATCCCTGGTACCAAGATGATTTTCGCTGGTCTCAAGAAGGATACTGATCGAATCGATCTTATAGCATATATGAAGCAAGCTTCAAAGTAGCTCATTTCCCAATTTAGTATAAAATACCCCCACCTAAACTACTTAGAACAATTATCTTGCATAATATATGTGTAGAAACCATTTCAATCTGAAAATATTTTTATTTTGGTTTATTTCAACTAGTCTTATGGTTTTTAAACAATTTGTTATATGGTGCCTTTGCCACATTGATTGGTTGCTTTCTAATTTATTTCATTCCATCTTGCAAATGTATATGTTGGCGATTTACGTCCCATTTTAATTTTGTTCAATTTTCTATCGGCTTGACATTATCAAATCCATGATGGGTGTCATTGTTTTTATCGTTGTTCTGTATAAGTTATTGGGTTTCCATACATAATATTAGAAAACTATTCATTGATTTATGGTGTTTCGATACGATAAGCCAGTGTCATTGAATTCGGCTAAAATTTATGGGAGTGATGGGCAGCTTGAATCTCTGTTTTTATTTAAAAACCTAAAAAAGAAATGTGTAGGTTATTTGGACTCTTGTAATTGCAGGTT